GGAGGGCGGCGGCGGGCGGGCGCCGGGCCGGGGCGGCGAGGACTCGGAGGCCAAGGGCCGGTTCCGCGTGAACTTCGTGGACCCGTCGGCTGAGAGCCCGGGGGAGCCCGAGGCGCCCGGCTACCCCAACGGCGGCGATACGGTGCGCAGCGAGGGCAGCATGGTGTCGGGCGGCGCCGGCGGGGCCCCGCACTACTGCTACGACACGCACACCAACACCTACTACCTGCGCACCTTCGGTCACAACACCATGGACGCCGTGCCCCGCATCGATCACTACCGCCACACGGCCGCCGAGCTGGGCGAGAAGCTCATCCGGCCCAGCCTGGCCGAGCTGCACGACGAGCTGGACAAGGTGAGGCGGCCCCGGGGCCGGGGCGCTTGGCAGGCGCCTGCCTCCGTGTGGCGAGGCGGTGTGGGGCCGGCTGAGTGCATCCCTCCTTCTGCCCTTCCCGGCTGCAAGGGACCCGCGGCGGCCTGTCCCGCCCCTCGTTTTCCCCGAGGCAGAGAGATGCAGCTGCTGCCGAGCCGGCAGAAGACTTGGCAGCTTCCCTGGGCAACATGTTCCTCATCCTGCTGCTTTTGTGGGTTCGTGCACCCCTCGCCCTCTCTTTCCAGGCTGTAAGGGACCTGCAGGGTCTTGTCTAGCCTGGTAGGCGCACGCTGCTTTTTCCCAAGGCAGAGAGATGCAGCTGTGGCTGAACAGGCGGATTTTGCAGGTTCCCTCGTCATCTTGTTCCTTGTCCTGCTGCTCCTGCAGTTTCTGAGCTGGGGAAGCAGGGGGGAGCTGTCATGGGGACTACAGACCTGTCTTCATGCATCCCTCATTCTCCCTTTCCAGCCGGAAGGGACTTGCATGGTCTTGTCCACCCCGGTAGGCACACACTGGCTTTCCCCAAGGCAGAGAGATGCAGCTGCTTCTGAACTGGCAGATTTCACAGCTTCTCTCAGCATCTTGCTGCTTGTCCTGCTGCTCTCACAGTTACCCAGCTTTGACAGGCACTTGGATCCACATGGGGAGGCAGGAGGGAGCTGTCATGGGGCTGGGTGCTCAGACCGTGGCTTTGTGCATCCCTCATCCTCCCTTTCCAGGCTGGAAAGGACCCACAGGGTCTTGTTCAGCCCCTTGCTTTCCCCAAGGCAGACAGATGCAGCTGCTACTGAACCGGCGGAAGATTTTGCAGGTTCCCTTGGCATCTTGTTCCTTGTCCCGCTGCTCTCACAGTTGCCAAAGGTTTTTTTTCTTTCCCCCGCTGAGATCGGATCTCACTGCACCTGTCTGTAGTTCAGTGCTGCTGCAGAGCAACATCCCTGAAATGAGTAGAGTTATTGAGAGGGAATTGGACTCACTCAAATTTTGCATTGTGTTATTAGCATTATATACACACACAAGTGACTGGGGCTGGGGAGATGTTCAGAAAGCGAGAAGGCTTGAGCAGGCAACTTCCTCCGGCCTGTCAGCCCTCTTCGCAAGGGTTCCTGTGCGCGCCCCCCCCCCGCTAGTGCTGCCCTACTGAGCTCTGGACGGCTCCTGGGAGGAGGGAGAAGGCTGCCTTGCTGCGGTCCATCTTTCCCTTGCTTGCCTCATTCCCTTTCATCATTAAGCCCTTGGAGCTGTGTCACTGCCAGCTTCCCCTGCTTTAGAGCAGCCGGCATGTTGTCCGTGGCAAATGACAGTTAAAGGGTCAGCAGCTCTGCTTAACAGATGCTGTAATTCACAAAGGAATTAAATTTGTCCTGGGTGTGATAGAGGTCAGAGCCAGCGTACATTTACGGGGTCCTCCCTGGTACTGTTTTCTGGGCAAATGAATGCTTGGTGTATGGATCTGGTCTAGATTTTTCTTGGCTTTGGAAGCCCTATTTGAAGACTACTTTTGTTCTAGATCACAATTGCAGTGTTTGCATTCTGTCTTATTAAAATGCCTTGGATGGGGGGCTAGTGGGGGAAGGAAGTCTTAGGTTTCTTAATCTCTTTTTTCCATTCTTCAAGTGTCCTGTATTAGCAGCCGTCTTTCTAATAGTAAGTTACTCGAGATGAAATGATGCTTTCCTTTGTACTGGTAATTGATGCATACCACATAGCTATAGTTATCTCTGTTCTCTTTCCCTGTATATTTCTAATAGAATTCTTACCTGACTTCCTTTTAAGGCAAGGTTCTCCATTGCCTTAAGTTTTTAATGTTTCTTTGAGTTGTGATGCTAGTTAGTTTAGCCTGTATTGCTGATCAGCTTCTGAATTCTGCAGGTTTGTACCCTTCACTGCAGACCTTTGCAGGAGTTGGGAACAACACACTTGCAGGCAAGGTTGTACGAGGCATAGTTCTGGTGGCAACTATTGCTTAAGTTTGAAAAATGTCAAGGCAAGGAAAGGCATGATATCCAGTAGTTTCTAAGAGTGAAGTCTTGATGCACTTCCCTCACTCCACCTCTGTCCTGTCTGCCTCTCCACCCCACCCTTGCCCCCATTCCTCTACTTTTGGAATCCAGGTAAATTTTGCTATTGCCTTTGGGAGGCTGTGCTTTGGGAGGAAGGTGTCAAGATCTCAGTTTGACATGTTTCCTAGCCATAGTGCTAAATGTTATGTAGTTTATGACAGGTTTGAATGTCATTCCTGTTTTAACAAATGTAATGTTAAGACCTACAATCAAAGTTCATTTATATGGAAATACTTTGTGCTCCCCTGAAATGCTGTAGATTTAATATATCAACTGCATACGAAAAACAGTTTAAGGATTTTTTTAATTTGTCTGTTTTAGTTTCTCCTATCTGTCCTTACTACATACATCATTCTTATAAGCTGATTATCAAGAACCAGTGAGACATTGATAATTTTCTTCTTTTTTGTGGCTTTCCATACATACTGGAATATAATGTGTGTGTTATTTTTCATTATATAACACACACGTGTGTGTGTGTGTGTGTGTGTGTGTGTGTGTGTGTGTGTATGCATGTATGAAAATTAGCAATGTCTCACTGTTTCTAGATAATCAGGTATGTTCTTTTTTGCAAGCTAAGGTAAATGACACCTTGAAGATTTGGAAGCGACAGCAACACTCAGAACTGGGCTTTACAGATGGGATCTCTCTTTTAAGAGCATAGTGATTGAAGAAACTACTTTGTTCTCAGTCAACCACCCCATGACCTTTTGGTATTCTGAAACAACATCAGTTTTAAACAGCCACAACATCTAAAACACTTCAGCAGGAAACCTAAGTCAAATTCTGTTTTGAGATCACCCTGACTGGGCAGTGGGTGATAAGGAGAGGGGATGTAGGAGCAGTGTATGGAGGTAGATAATATTTTTATAGTTAGATTGCTCTAATTAGGCCAAAACAAAAGCAGATAACTCAAACTTGTTAACTTCGTAAGTTGTCAGTATTTGTTGTGGATGTGTCTGTTGCAGGGAAGCTTGGTCTTGAAATAAGTTGTGTGTTTAAAACTGAATGGGAGTCTGTGGTGGTCTGATAATTTTAACTTTAATAAAAGTGTGGTGCTCATAGATGTATGCAAATGCTTAAATTTAAATTCTTTCCACTGAATCACTTAGCTCTTAATGTAGTATGTGTTGTCTTTAGAGTGCTTAATAGATGCTAACAGGTGCATCCTCCTGACGGTGAGGGTAAGCATTAGCCTCCATTTTAGAGATATGGAAAGGGAGGTGTGTTTTGAAGTCTGTGGCAGGTAATTCATGTGGAAACCAATATTGGAAGTAAAGTGTTGTAAATAATAGTACAACTATGGCACAAAGTGCCTGTGGGGTTTTTAAAATCTTTCTCCATGATATGAATACTATAGCCACATCCTACAACTACTTGGCTGCTTTCAGGCCACATAATATGTGTCTTTAAACCAGAGAGATGTCATGCTTAGGAGCAAATGGCACAATGGATTTTGTATATATTGCCTGTAAATACCTCTGCTTTAAGGAGGGGTGCGAGACCCCCAGCAATGTTGGGTGTTCTTGTCTTACTCAAAACTCAGGCCTCTACATGGTGGTTGGATTACCTGTGCATCTTTCAGCATGCAGTCAGTGAAGGCTCATCTGTAGGCTTCAATACAAAAAGTTTCAGTAATAACACTTCAGCCAAAGGTATGGCTCAAAATAACTATAGCATACACAAATGCATAAGGCAAAATTTAGTGGCACACCTGGTGTCAATTGTCATAGTGTCACTAAGGTCAGTTTGTTAGCTGAAGGTCTACCCCAGGATGCACAAACATCTGAAGTGCTACAGGAACTGTATTCAGTCCTATCTTGGGCAAAATGTTTTGACTAGTCTTAAACATGTCCCTTACTTAATATCAACATATTCTTAAAAATCCAGAAGCTTGTAATAGCACATGCTTCTCTTCATATTGTACTTTTAACCATGAGAATGACTGACTGGGGTCCTAATAGTAAAGATCATGTCCAAAATAATCATCATGGGGGAAAAAAAAAACTAGGGAAGGAAAAAGACGCACATCTGTCTTCGCTTAACTTTTAGCTGGGACCCACACAAGCATTACTGTAAAAATAAAAATCACCTATGTAGTTTAGTTTTTCTTTTTCAATTTAAGATACTTTTATATCTAGGTTTCAGGACTTGTTGTTTGGTTTATTTCTTGGGTTCTCCTACACAATACTTTGGTAGTGGGGGAAGCTGTATACAAATACATAAAATGTCCTGTTTCTGGTTTCATAACTTTAATGTAACTGGGAGGAAGGTTGTACCTGAAAATAATGTTGAGGCTTATAAAACTTACTGTTGTTGGGAATTTATGGTACGTAAATTGATTAGATTAACACACTTAGTCTGTGGAAATGGGTTCCATGTAATACAGACTGGGTTTGAATTTGGAAACAGATTACTAGTTGTCAGCATCACTCTCAGAGGTTAAATTAATGGACGAGCTGCCTTCAACTACAATCTTTCTGACATTTAAATTGACCTACAATGTGCTACATGCTGAATTTGTCAGATGTCTTTTCTTTAGTTAACTATTGTTTAGGGGAGGTAACTGAATTTAGGTGTCACACCTATAAGTGGATTGCTCTATCCTGTGCTGATCTGATTAGCATGAATTTTTTTTTAGAACACACTTTTTTGATGGTGTTACTTTAAGGTGCAAGAGAAATTATTTAGTGTTATTATGCTAGTTGTAATCTTAATCTAAATACTGTTTAGTCTAAATGCTGATCTCTTGAGAAAGGTCCAAAATTTGAAGGAAGGCTGAAAAGGGATGAGGGTACTGCAGAGAATTTGCATGTGGTATGGAACCTGTTGACACAGGCTTAAAAAATCATAGTGGGGAAAACTACTTAATCATTTTTGTTACGTCTTTTTACTGAGGGAGCAGGAAGAAGAGAGAAT